AAAACAAAAATATGATGAAAAAATGAGTTCACGCGCTCAAAATTTTGGTAGCTATCACGCATATGCCACATCAGCTACATGTGTTTAAACGACACACATATATATTCGGTAAAAGTGTCTGGTTGGATATTTAGGTAGTTGAGGTGTTCAGCTGACCATTGGTGACAACTTAAAGGGGCCATTTATGTATTTCGCCAAAAAAGTTTAAGGGGGTACTAGGATTCCCGCAAGATTAAGTGTGTAGTTGGAAATCCGACTCAAGTTCAAGGGGTACTTATGCATTTTGCCCTTCTCTTTTTTTTGGCGTCCTTCTCGCCTTTGAGAAACTAATTCTCTTTTGTTTCTTGTACATACAATCTTCAGACAAACCTAATTCAACATGTTTGAGGTTTGACAACTTTTCTTTGGATGCCAGCAACTTCATTCCCTTCTCACTTATTTGTCCGAGCCTCCGGTGCCACAATATTGTGTCCCTTGCTAAGTCTTCATATGGACTTCACATTTTCTGACAATATCCAAAGGTTCATTGTCTGCTAGATAAACCTTTCCGAATTTTTCAGCAACATAATTATGCAATAATTCTTTGCACGAGGTAGAGTGAAAGGATACACCTGAATCAAGAATCTAAGATTCGACTGGATTGTCTCCATAGCAAATTAGTGTATCGCCAACATGTTTAATAATCCCATTTGTTAAATTTTCATCATTCTTCTTCTTTGGTTCTCTATTCTGACTATTGTAGTAACCCCTTTTATCGCAATTCCAACAACTAATATTTTTGTGATTCTTAAATTGCCCTCTTTTTCTTGACTTTGATCTGTCATAACAATGACTTTGTCCTTTTTGGTTGCTTCTCCCCCGACTTTTGGCGTTGAAAGAAAATTCTGGGAATCACTTGATTCTCTTTGGCGAATATTTTCGCTTAGAACCAAGTCTCTGACTTTGTCATCAAATGTTATGTTAACAGAACTCAACTGAGTTTATATTACATTAAACTCATTGATATGTTCAGTAATAGATCCGCCTTCTACCATCTTCAAGTTGAACAATCAGCGCATTAGATAGACTTTATTTGAAGCAATAGCTTCTTATACATATTTGATAATGCCTTCATAAGGCCTGTAGTGGTCTTCTTGTTAATGATGTTGAATGCCACATTTCGTGTCAACATCAAACGAATATTCTCTGATTTTACCCAATTAGAGGTTACTGTAATTTTTTCTGGTACAGATAATCCTCTATCTGCATCTTTCATAATCGAAAATCTTTGTCATTGAACTTGCCAATCTTAACCTTCCCTTCTTCCGACGCTATTTCTTCACAAATAATAAATTTTTATGTGAATGGTGCCTGTGAATAATAACCGCGAATATCACTCTGTTTAGGAAAAATATTCCAACCATATAAGGTAGATAACACTCCCTATTGATGAACAATACTTTTATTATTAATGAATAGTACTTTTACTATTAATGAATAGTACGTGTTAGTATTGATGAGAAACAGTAATGCACTATTTTTGCAAACAATACACTACACCAATACCATACTTTCAAGTAGGATTACATTGTATGCGCTCTAATGCCAGTTGTTGGGTAACGAGTCAGGCTAATAGAAAAAAAATAATTAAAATAGAAAAAATAATAAATTGCACAAGACACGACAAGATTTACGACAATTTTGCTTCATTGAAAAGAATGAAAAAAGCAGTGAGGGTGGTTTACAAGTTACAACTGAGAAGGGAACGCCTATTTATAAGTAGAGGAATCTGTTGAAATCTTCAGCAAAATGTGAATATGCGACAGGACAGTACAGTGATTATGAGCCAATTTAATTCTTTCACATTTTGCTGTCTTTTCACCCTCACTTCCTTTCTTTTTTCTTTTTTGTCTTTTTCACATCATTTCTTTCTTTCTTTAACTTTTTCATTGATGTTCACATGGGTTTGTTCCCATCACTCACTTACCACTTTATGTAACACAGATCCATTGGAAAAAGATGGAGATTAGAGGAATCTTTTTAAGTTGGATTTTCCTGCAGCCCTTTGTCCCATACACAAGAAAAAATGTAGCATGCCTGAGTTTGAACATTGTCGTGTTTTGGCTACATATCTTGTCCTGAGTATCTTGAATACTGGTGAAGTCAGGAAATACAAGAAATCAAGTTTGGGAATTCCATATTATAAAACCTCCACTAAGCTAAACTAGTGTCTGTTCTATACTTGTTAACAACTTGAGCTTAATTTGGCACAGCATAGGAATGGAAAATGATGAGGTGATTCTGTTGGATTTCTGGGCTAGCATGTTAGGAATGAGAGTAAGGATAGCACTAGCCGAAAAGGAGATCAAATATGAGTACAAGGAAGAAGATTTGTTAAGTACTAAAAGTTCTTTGCTTTTGAAAATGAATCCTATCCACAAGAAAATCCCAGTTTTGATTCACAATGGAAAACCTGTTTGTGAATCTATCATTGCTGTTGAGTACATTGATGAGGTTTGGAAGGACAAAGCTCCATTGTTATTACCCTCTGATCCTTATGAGAGAGCACAAGCTAGGTTTTAGGGTGACTACATTAACAAGGTAAATCCTAATATTATGCTTTCCTTCTCTTAATGTAAACAAATTATTAGTATTAGAATAAAATGGATAGGAGTATGATCGAGTAGATATAGAGGACCATATTGTTAGAATCGAAATAATCAGGTGTCATGCGGAAGCTAATAAAGCATACCTTCAACGACGATAAATCAAATAACAAAAGAGAAAGATTCCAAAAGAGACACAAACGTTTAGCGTGTTTCGATCAATGTATAGGAGTAGGATCGAGTAGATATAGAGGACTCATATATATAGCAGATCACGTAGTTGATTAATGTTCTTTAATGTGAGTTAACGCAACCATGGGCGTAACAAAATAGCTTGAAGGGGTTTAATTGAATTCCCTTCGTGGAGAATTATATAATGCAAATAGGGTAAAAAATAATTTCTTTTTGTATATACATAAATTCTTGATTCCCTTTGACATAAAACTTCTACTGATGGGAGGCACATCGTGCGCATTTTTAAGGTCATAGGTTCCAATCCCAGGTGCGACATTCTTGCATTTTTCTAACCTTGTTTGAATTCTGGCTCTGCCACTAGCACAAGTGCAGAAGTGGAGCGCCAGAGCAACTGTAAAGTTGTCTCCGTATGAACTATAGGTCACGAATTCGAGCCGTGAAAGTAACCACTAATGTTTGTATTAGGGTAGGCTATCTACATCACACCCTTTGGGGTGCGGCTCTTATCCGGACCCTGTGTGAATGCGGAATGCTTTATGCACCAGGCTACCATATGCCCACTAGCACAAGTACATATAAATAGTTGTTTGGCACATCTTTGAAAATTGCAGATGTATGATTTTGGGCGAAAAATATGGACAACCAAAGGAGAAGAGCATGAGGAAGGAAAGAAGAAATTTATAGATTCACTCAAGTTACTGGAGCTAGAAGCATTGGGAGACATGCCTTACTTTGGAGGGGAAAACTTTGGTTTTGTGGATATTGCCCTGATTGGATTCTACAGCTGGTTTTATGCTTATGAGACCTTTGGCAACTTCAGCATAGAGGCCGAGTGCCCCAAGCTCGTCGCTTGGGGCAAGAGATGTATGCAGAGGGAGAGCGTCTCGACGTCTCTAGCTAACCCTCATAAGATCTATGAGATGCTACAAGTATTCAGAAAGATTCATGGAATAGAATAAACATATTTGGTTTAGTGTCTCAGTATTGTTTTTGCAATTCTGCTGCTGCATCTTTTTGGACTGAGAAGGACTATTTAAAAGTAAATTCCTACTTATGCAATCAGGATATGAATAATGTGAACAGATCTGGAAGAAAGGGGGTAAGACCTATGTTGCGTGGATTCTCTGAAACACTGCCGCACCTGTGTCGGATTCTCCAAATATACACAGCTTTTGGAGAATCCGACATGCACGGTGATATTTTCGGAGAGTCCGAGCAACATAGGGTAAGACTGCACCTTAGGATCAAACTTAATCTTGAGTCACTTTCTTGGCTAAAACTCTTCAAGTTGATCAATTTTGATCTTGAACTAATGGTTTCATGTTCTTTTCATATTCGAATTAAATTTAATCTGGAGCCTTTTTTTAATCTAAGGAAAATATAACATTGGCTCGACATATAGGGAAACATCCAGTACAAGGTATCTGCAACTCTTGGATTCCTTGGCCAAGCCAAGACAAGACTTGAAAATATTGGTCCTATTTTAAGATCAATGAGACTCATCTCTTCCTTTTGCTATTTTAAATTAAATACGCCGGTAGTGTGAAGAATTTCTAAATTTTTACGCTATTAAGTAGTATTCTCGCTGTTTCAAAAAGACTGACACTATTCAATATTTCCTTATTAGTTTGTTTAGAAAAGATTGACACTTTTCAATATTTCCTTAATAGGAAGCATATATAATCTCACACCACAAGTTTCAAAGGATTTACAATCACACAAATGTTATGGCTTATTTATGACCACATATCTTAAAAGTCTTCCTTTTTTTTATTTAAAGTTTGTACCAAGTCAAACTATGACAATTTTTTTGGAACGGAAGGAGTACGATTTAACTTGTTATATAGCTCGTTTTTAGTTTATTATTCAAGTAACTATATCAGGTTGATACGAAGAGTTATCTACTGTTGTAAGTTGATTTTACCTGATATTATAAAGAAAAACCTATATACTGTCAGTGCACCAAACGTAAAAGTCTTTTAAATATTATGCAATCTGATCTGCTAGTTGCTAACAGACTGGAACCTTTCAACAAGCCAGGTAGAAATTGTTAAAATCAATGAGTTTCTGGCTCCAGTACATTTCGTTAATACATAAGCTGAAATTACAAAAATCCAGCATTTCAAGAATCAGATTTATATATAAGAAGTTACATCTATCAAATTGATCAACTAAAACTTCCTATTGTTAATAAATTAAATGAGTTTTCTTGATAAAGAAATGGCAAATGATGAGGTGATTTTATTGGATTTCTGGCCTAGTATGTATGGCATGAGAGTCAGGGTAGCACTAGCTGAAAAAGGTGTTAAATATGAGCACAAAGAAGAGAACTTAGGTGAAAAGAGTTCTTTACTTTTGGAAATGAATCCAATATATAAGAAAATACCAGTTTTGATTCACAATGGAAAATCAGTTTGTGAATCACTAAATGTAGTTCAGTATATTGATGAAGTTTGGAAGGACAAAGCCCAACTTCTTCCTTCTGATCCTTATGAAAAATATGATGCTATATTCTGGGCTGACTATATGGAAAAGGTAATAAAATTTTCTTTCAAGAGTTTAACTTCTACCCACCGACAATGTCAAATCTTTTATGCTATCAGATTTCCTAAAAGATAATTACATGAATATGTCATAAAGATTCTTTACGTTGTTAGTGTATATAAGTTAAGTTCTTCTTTCGAATAGATTATTTAGAAAGACGCTTGTTAGAAATAAATTTCATGTGCTTATCAAACATCAAGTTTCCAAATAATAAAGAGGAAAATGTGTTGTTGCAGGCGTAGGTTCAATTGAACTCATTGCTTTCATTTTAGACTATGTTACATATGTAACAATTTTTTTTATATATATATTGCATGAAGGAGAGCCTTGCCGTAGCTGGTAAATTTGCTGCCATGTGACCAGGAGGTCACGGGTTCGAGCCGTGGAAACAGCCTCTTGCAGAAATGCAGGGTAACACTGCGTAAGATAGACCTTTGTGATCCGGCCCTTCCCCGGACCCCGCGCATAGTGGGAGCTTAGTGCACCGGGCTGGCCTTGTATATGAATTGCACCTCGTTCTGGACTCATTGATTTTAAATTCCACCAGGTGTTTGATTCGGGGCGTAAGCTATGGATGAATAAAGGAGGAGAGCAGCAGACAAAGAAGAAAAATTACATAGATAGCTTAAGGATGTTGGAAGGAATTCTTGGAGAAAACCCTTATTTTGGAGGTGAAAACATTGGATTCTTGGACATTGCTTTAATAGGATTCTGCAGTTGGTTTTATACATATGAGAAGTTTGGAGATTTTAATACAGAAGCTGAGACCCCAAAGCTAATTGCATGGATGAAGAGATGCATGCAAAGGGAGAGTGTCTCCAAATCTATTGCTGAACCTCTAAAGGTTTATGATTTTGCTTTGCAGATTAGAAAGCATTACGGAATAGTGTAGACGAATCTTCGCAGACTCGGAACTTTTGTCTGCTCTGATATCATATTTTAATATGTGAACCGCCTCATCTAAAAGGTTAAATTATGAGAAATAAAATTTTTATTTATTTATATTTTATTTAATTTACAACATAGTTGTCTTTAACCGGAGGACCTGGTTCTTCAAATGTACAATTTGGACTTGGCATGCAACAGCAATAATCCTAAGTACCGTTGTCTCTTATGATTGATGTTCTTTTTGTTAAAATTATAATAAACTTGTTTCATTAGTTCACATTTGTATTAAATATGTTTAGATTAGTTCATATTAGCATGTAGACTAATGTGAACTTCATTATGAGATGTATGAACTAGTGTAGACTAATGTGAATTTAGTTAGTGTGTTTACATGAAGTTTAGGCTAGATACATGTAGGAGTTCTACTATAAATACCCATGTATGCTAGCCATTTGGAACAAGTCAAGTTGAATGAAAAATATCATTTCTTCTCCATTCTTAAAGTGAGTTGTGAGTGTTTGAGTGTTTTGTTGTCTTGCTCTCCCAAATTATTTTTTTTTCCAACATTTGGTATCAGAGCCGGTGTGGTTGAAGACAACAAACTTGGAGAAAAGATGACGAATTCTAACGGAACACCATTCCAAGTTCCTATGCTTACAAAAGAGAACTATGGAAATTGGTGTATTCGAATGAAGGCCTTGCTTGGTGCCTATGATATTTGGGAACCAGTAGAGTCCGGTGTTGATGAAGCAGAAGATGTCGTTGCCTCAAAGAAGAAGGATCAAAAGGCACTCACTCTCATCCATCAAGGTTTGGATGACAAGATGTTCGAGAAGGTTGCAAATGCAACAACCTCCAAGGAAGCATGGGATATTCTTCAAACTTCTTTTAAAGGTTTGGACAAAGTGAAAAAAGTTCGCCTCCAAACCTTAAGAGGAGAGTTTGAATCATTGCATATGAAGGAAAATGAATATGTTGTGGATTATATTTCGAGAGTTTTGGCTATTGTCAATCAAATGAAAAGATATGGTGAAGAGTTGAAAGATGATAGGGTCGTGGCAAAAATACTACGATCCTTAACTTCAAAATTTGATTTTATTGTTGTTGCCATTGAAGAGTCCAAAGACTTGGACACCATGACCATAGACGAGCTTCCGAGTTCCTTGCAAGCACATGAAGAGAAGTTGAAGAAACCGAAAGAAGAATCGGTTGAACAAGCGTTGCAAGCAAAATTTTCTTTCAAAGAGAAAGATGAAAGGCGTTGCTCGCAACAAAGAGGCCGTGGAAATGGAAGAGGTCGTGGTAGAGGCGGAAGAGGAGGTAGTCAACCACCTTCAAGTAGAGAAAATAAAGGCCAAGACTTTAATTCAAGAAGAGGTCGTGGAAGAGGGAAAGGATGGAGGCAAAATCAAGGAAGGTATGACAAATCAAATATTGAATGTTATACTTGTCATAAATTTGGTCATTTTTCTTGGGAATGTAAAGATAACTTTGAAGAGAAAAATAATTTCGTGGAGAGCAAAAATGAAGATGAAGATGCCACCTTGCTTCTCGCATGCAAAGGAGAAGAAAGTGCCGAGAAGCACCGATGGTACCTTGATTCCGGTGCAAGTAGCCATATTTGTGGAAAGAAGGATTTATTTGTGGAACTTGAAGAGTTGAATCGTGGCACAATCACTTTTGGAGATTCTTCACGTGTTAAAATCAAAGGAAAAGGTACGATTTTAATTCGCTTGAAGGATGGAAGTCATCAATTAATTTCTAATGTTTTATATGTGCCGGAGATGAAAAGTAACATTTTGAGTTTGGGACAACTTTTGGAGGAAAATTATGACATTCATTTGAAAGATAAAAAGTTGTTTATGAGAGATGAAAAAGGGAGATTATTAGCTAAAGTTCCTATGGCTAATAATAAAATGTTCATTTTAAATCTTCAAAATGATGCTCCAAGATGCTTACTTTCATGTGCCAAAGACTCCTCTTGGCTTTGGCATATGAGATTTGGTCACTTGAATTTTGATAGCTTAAGGTTGATGGATAAAGAAAACATGGTGAATGGATTGCCAAGTATTAATCATCCCAACCAATTTTGCGAAGGATGTATCTTTGGAAAGCAAGCTAGAAAAAGCTTTCCTAAAGAGTCTTTGACAAGAGCAAGATGCCCTTTGGAGTTAATTCACATGGATGTTTGCGGACCTATCAAGCCATCTTCACTTGGTAAAAGTAATTATTTTTTACTTTTCATTGATGATTATTCTACAAAAACTTGGGTTTATTTTTTAAAGGCAAAATCAGAGGTGTTTGAAACCTTTAAAAAATTCAAGAGGATGGTGGAGAAACAAAGTGGCTATCAAATTAAGTCACTTCGGTCGGACAATGGTGGAGAATTCACTTCAAATGAATTCAAAGTTTTTTGTGAGAAAAATGGAGTTCGCCATTTTTTAACCGTGCCAAGATCACCACAACAAAATGGCGTTGTGGAAAGAAAGAACCGGACCATTCTTAACATGGTGAGGAGTATGTTGAAGAGCAAAAATATGCCAAAGGAATTTTGGGCTGAAGCTGTTGCTTGTGCGGTATACTTACTAAATCGTTGCCACACAAAACGTGTTCATGGAAAAACACCTCAAGAGGCATGGAGTGGTTTCAAGCCAAAAGTTTCTCACTTGCGAGTTTTCGGAAGCATTGCATATGCACATATACATGATGAAAAGAGGACCAAGCTCGATGACAAAAGTGAGAGGTATGTTTTTATTGGTTATGATCAAAATTCTAAAGGTTATAAATTGTATAATCCCAAAAATGGCAAGGTCACTTTGAGTAGAGATGTTGAGTTTGATGAAGATAGTGCTTGGGATTGGAAGACTAAAGAGCAAGATTACTCTTTTAGTCCATTATTTGATGATGATGAAGAAGATGTGGAGCAACCTATCTCACCACTATCAACACCTCCGCCACAAAATCAAGAAGTGGAGGAATCAAGTTCAAGTTCAAGTGAAGCACCTCACAAGAGTAGAAGTCTCCGTGACTTGTATGAAAACACGGAAGTGGTAAGAAATGATTTATATGATTTTACTCATTTTTGTTTATTGGTGGATAGTGAGCCTATAAGCTTTGAGGATGCATTCCAAAATTCCAAATGGAGAGATGCCATGGATGAAGAAATCAAGGCAATAAAAAAGAATGAAACATGGGAGTTGGTCACACTTCCAAAAGGAAAAAGCACCATTGGAGTCAAATGGGTGTACAAGCTAAAGAAGAATTCCAAGGGTGAAGTAGAAAAGTACAAAGCAAGATTAGTAGCTAAAGGATACAAGCAAAAAGCCGGTATTGACTATGAAGAGGTATTTGCACCGGTTGCTCGTTTGGAAACAATTCGCTTTGTCATTGCCTTGGCCGCCCAAAATCAATGGAAAATCCATCAAATGGATGTGAAGTCAGCTTTTTTGAATGGCGTATTGGAGGAAGAAGTCTACATTGATCAACCTTTGGGCTATAAGGTTGAAGGACAAGAAAATAAAGTCTTGAAATTGAAAAAGGCTTTATATGGGTTGAAGCAAGCTCCGCGGGCTTGGAATAGTAGAATTGATAAATATTTTCAAGCAAATGGTTTTTCAAAATGTCCACATGAACATGCACTTTATGTAAAAATTGCTAAAAATGGTGACATTTTACTTGTTTGCTTGTATGTAGATGACTTGATTTTTACAGGAAATAATCCTAAGATGTTTGAAGAATTCAAGGAAGCAATGGCTAGAGAATTTGAGATGACGGACATTGGATTAATGTCCTACTATCTTGGCATTCAAGTGCAACAAAGGAAGGAGGGGATTTTTATTTCTCAAGGAGAATATGCAAAGGAAATTCTCAAGAAGTTCGAGATGGATAATTGCAATCCTGTGAGCACCCCCGTTGAATGTGGAGTTAAAATATCCAAGCATGGAGATGGAGAAAATGTAAATCCCACATTTTTCAAGAGTCTTGTTGGAAGCTTAAGGTACTTGACATGCACAAGGCCGGATATTCTTTATGGTGTTGGACTTGTGAGCCGCTTTATGGAAGCTCCTACTACCTCCCATTTAAAGGTAGCAAAAAGAATACTTCGGTACATCAAAGATACACTTGATTATGGAATTCTTTATTCATCTTCTAAGGATTCTAAGTTTGTGGGATATTGTGATAGTGATTGGGCTGGTGATATTGATGATCGTAAAAGTACTACTGGGTTTGTTTTCTTTCTTGGAAATTCTGCATTTACATGGAATTCTAAAAAACAACCTATTGTTACTTTGTCAACTTGTGAGGTGGAGTATGTTGCAGCTTGCTCATGTGTTTGTCATGCAATTTGGTTAAGAAGTTTGTTGGAGGAACTTCACCAACCACAAAAGGATGCCACAAAGATTTTTGTTGACAACAAGTCGGCTATCGAGTTAGCCAAAAATCCTGTATTTCATGAAAGGAGCAAGCATATAGATACAAGGTATCACTTTATTAGAGATTGTATATCTAATAAAGTTGTGGAGCTTGAGCATGTGAAGTCGCAAGATCAAATTGCGGATATTTTCACCAAGCCATTAAAGATTGAAGTTTTTCAAAAGCTAAGGATGGCGCTTGGAGTGATGAAACAAGTTTAAGGGGGGATGTTAAAATTATAATAAACTTGTTTCCATTAGTTCACATTTGTATTAAATATGTTTAGATTAGTTCATATTAGCATGTAGACTAATGTGAACTTCATTATGAGATGTATGAACTAGTGTAGACTAATGTGAATTTAGTTAGTGTGTTTACATGAAGTTTAGGCTAGATACATGTAGGAGTTCTACTATAAATACCCATGTATGCTAGCCATTTGGAACAAGTCAAGTTGAATGAAAAATATCATTTCTTCTCCATTCTTAAAGTGAGTTGTGAGTGTTTGAGTGTTTTGTTGTCTTGCTCTCCCAAATTATATTTTTTTCCAACACTTTTATGCGAGCACAACCACCGGCGTAGCTACATGAT